TTTTTGGAATTGAATTCGCAGTTAGGTGTTTGCGAGCCCTAGCCTAGCAGGGGACTGCACAATTTGATGTTGAATCATCTTGTGTATCTGGAAAACAATTTTCTATGAAGGTGAAGAAAGGTTATTCTGTAGGTTGAAGAGTATTGTAACTTCAAGGCCCACACAACACTTTATCCATTCACCAAATCACGGGGCATAAAAGCATTACTCCTGCAGAAACACAAGCGGGACACTATCCTCTGACGTTACAGGAGTTTACATGCTGACCTTTGCTAAAAACCATAAAAAAACATCACCTCAAAAAGAGTTTAGTACTTCAAATATAGGATAATCAATTCAATGTTAAAAAAGAAAAATTTCATCCATCACTCTGTAACACAGCATCATAAGTTATAAGGAACAGGTCATAACTAATGAACACAGTACATCACATATTGTACTATAGGATACCTAATCCTCCATTGGTCAACCAATAAACCCGACAAACATTAACCACTAATTTATGTAATACGTTCAACCACATACGTTCGGTACCCTTTTATACCACCTGTAATACGCATCACCCTTCTCTCTCTACCATTTACTCGACAGCCGCATAAGTAATGTCGCGACATGAGGCATACGTGCGACACGTCGTCCACTTAGTTCGGCACGGATGATGATCGACATACAGGGTGCGACATCGTGATCTAGCGGTTAAGCAGTTACACACCTTGACTAAACAACGCCGCGAATCACGGCCATATATCATGGAAGTAATTGACTCGGTGTCAGCACACGATTTGACGGTTACAACTTCTAAACAGTCAACTTCAGTAACTGACCGGATTTTCAGGTAAACGGTTTATTATGCTGATTTAAATATACAAAGCGCACCAGAAAAAAGGTACGTTTTTTCCCCTAAAAGAAAATTGATTGAGATTTTTCTTATTCGAACAACACCCTGTTGACTTGAGCGTCGGAGTGCCTTTGCAGGTACCCCAGCCCCACTTTGCTCACGAGAATCAGAGAAGAGAGAGAGAAATACAACATAGTGAAAGCAACATCGACAAGAAGCAATGCAGAGTTATTTGGTTCGTATCTTGGTCCCTACATCCCTACTGAAACACTTACCTTTTTAATTAATCATAGTATATGACGTATACTTTTTCTCCCAAAATTATTAACATTGCTTTTCCTCTTACGCAAAGTAAGTATTATTAATTAGCATAATAATTCTTTAACAATATATTTTGATAAATTTTAATATGATTTATGTATTATATGATTGGTTTATATTAATGTTTATAATTATTATTATTAATTATCACGTAATTTTGAATTAATCACGTAATAATACATAAATAATGTTAAAAATATTGTCAAAGTTAAATAATTCATTAGGTTTAAATAATTTTCTAACTCTAAATTGTAAAATATAAGATAAGAAAAAATTAAAATTGAAAAATTAGGTATATGGTGGGTAGGAAATTGAGGAGAAGTGTAGAGTTTTGAAGACGACACGTGGAATTGGAAACTGTAGAGGTATTGTGGTAGCAGTGCCACGCCTTGTTCGCATGCAGAAAGATGTAACCATAGAAGCTCACAATCATCACCGACACTGCCACCATTTCATTACTGACATTGTTGACATATAAAATTAGATATAAAGAGAGAGAGATAGAGATAATTTTATCTTGTCATGTTACATTAAACACAGTTTCTTTTTATAATATGAAATAGACGACAACAAAGAAAAAACAGTGCCTTTAGTTAAAACAAAAAATAGAATTTAAAGAAGTATGCGACATCAAACATATCCTTAAACTCTATATTAATTTAATATATTATACAAAAAAAGAAAATTATTAATGCTATGCTAGTAAAGTGAGCGATTCATTTTACTTAAGTATAATTGGTTAGTATTATTTTACTGCGGAAACGTTTCGGACTGGACTGTCTATAAATGGCATAGGAAAAAAGAAACATTTGATGATTAAAATTTCGTACAACTATATATTTTATCAAATAAAAATGTATTACAATAGAATGTTTAATTATATAGGGACAAAAGAAAATATAAAAAAAAAGTATAATATTGCATATAATAGTATGGCTATAGTAAATGATTAATTCCTTTAAGAATGTAATTGATTAACGTTCTGTAAATACAATTACTTTCCCGCTTAAAATCATGATTCTTATTTCAAATATACAAATTTAAAATTATTTAAAATAGATTTAATTTGGATTTTGATAATAGAGTTCAGTTTGACATACCATGTTCATAATTTGTTAATTTTAGTTAGGTTTAATTTTAGTTTTTGGTTAAATTAATTTTTTTTTGTCTTGAGTTTTTAATTTTGAAAAATTGAAATAATTAACTCTTCCTATTAAATTAGCTTAATGATATTAAAAAACAATTGTTGTATATTTTCAATAACATGTGTGATTTAACATTTTTAAAAAGAAAAATTATAAAAAAAAATTGTTGAAGCCCTACTTAAATGGCATGTTTGATGTTGCTATTTTTCTTCTTCCGTGTTCTTTGTCTCCTTCAACATTGTTTAACTTAGTTGTTTTTCTTCTTTAATGTTATTGATATTAGTGGTTTGTTTCCTACAACATTTTTGTCTTCGTTCTTGTTTTTTTTTCGACTCTTCATCATGATTGTTGGTTTTGTTCAACATTATTGATCTTTGTTGTATTTCAGTGTCGTGGTTGGAGTATTTAAGGTATGTTAGTGGGTCATTCATGTTCGTCTTTCACATGTAATGGGTGGTTGATGTAAAATTCTAGTCTACTTATTGTCGTGGTGGAGGATCGAGAAGTTTATGCATATCACCCATTTGGTCATTATGGAGAAAAATTAGTTTTGAGAACTGCAAAAACTATTAAGAAGAGAGGAAAACAATTTTAAGGTTGTCCTAAGTATAAAGTATAATATTGAAATTTGTGTTATTATTTATGAAAATAGATTATTGTTGAAATTTTGAATTGTTGTCGTTGTTGTTATTTACAAAGTATAAGTGAAAATGTTGGTTGTAATTACTTCAGATGGTGTACTAAAGATGGATTGAGAAAAGAATTATCACTGTCAAATGCGAAGAAAGAAATATCATTTTCGTTAAGACTTAAGAAACAAAAGGTGATAGGACGATTATAAATAATTTGAAAAAATTAGTTAAGATTTTTCAAAAATGAATTAAGGTTATCATAGGAGTGACTTCTCTTTTCTATGTCATTAACATAATTGTACTTAATTAAGTTAACTTCATTGTAGTTAGGATGTAAATCTTTTTCACTGTACTTATTTTAAGTTAATTTGATTGTAGTTAAGATGTAATGTTTATGATATACAATTGTCAGGTCTAATGTTGGTAAATTGTTTAACGTAATGTTTTTCAATAAATTCAACAATTTCAGAACTATAAAAAACAGAGAAATCGATCTGGGACTTCCGATGAAAACTGAATCCTCACCTAAATTATTAAACCTTAACTTTAACATGGTTTAACTTCATAACAGTCCTAGTCTAATTCACAGTGGGGTTGAAGAAGGATCATAGCTTCATAAAGTTGCTTCCGAGTTAAAACTCGCTAACTACTTAAACTTCGTACTTAAACTTCGTCTACCAATTTCAGACTTGCTAGAAAGTTTTTGGAGACAGACAAAACGTTGGATGTTGGGAATTTTCTAGCTCTGTTATCCACTACATTCTAGACACGTGGCAAGTGCATCGGCTGAAAAATCTAAGCACATGAATCAAAAAGGGAACCCATTATGTGGAATCCACGGCACAATCTGGGCGAATTATCAGAGCCACCTGAATTGAGCACACCCATAGGAACCAAAAGAATTTAAAGAACAGTCTCTATTTCTTAATTCATCATGCAATTGACAAGTAGCACGGTGATATGAAGGGCAAGTGCTGCACAAGGTATTGGAAATTTGAAATTAGAGAATTTCAGATGAATTATGGTTTACAAAGCTACATAGAACAATAATTTAGATGATGCTGTTCATTCCAATTGCATCTCCTGTGCAGCATCCTCCTCCCATTCTCATTCAAATTCCCAATTAATTCAAAAGGGGTCACATTGGTAAAAACATTATGGTTCTGGGCTGCAAGTTGAAAGAAGCATCTAAAGATCACAATCCTTAAAGAATCTTCAGAAATAATGGACTAACGTAATATTATAAACAAATCAAATAATTCAGTCGGCGGGGAACGAAACATTAATCATGTTTCACATTGCCAGAGAGTCACTGGTGCCAACTTGATAGCACACAATGTTTGATCCACGTAACCAAAAAAATAGCACATTTCCAATACTAGTTTCCTAGTATTGGAAACTAGACTTTCTTCTATTGATGCAAGTTACATGCTATGTACAGTATGAATCTCATGACCCAAAGTTAAAACGATTGAAAGAGTATTGCTACTGTTTGCAAAATTGCCATCACCAATTAATCATCCAAAACAAAAGTTCTGCTATGTCTCCGTGAGCTTCTGCTGAAGACTGAACTCACACGACTACGGCTTCTACTCACGGAACCATGTTCAGAAGATGACAAAGACGAAGAAGAGTTTCTAGAACCGATCCTTCCAAAGAATGAAAAGAAGCTGCGAACAACCCTACCAAATCCTCGACTCTCCCTAACCCTACTGCTTCTCACCGACCGAGAAATCCTCCTCGGAGCTCCGTTCGTGTTCAGTCCCCCGTCCATCTCCGTATACACCACCGGAAAATGATTCTCTCCGGCCCTGCGTCCGCCAGAAAATCGACCCACGGCGAATCCACCTCCTGGAAGCCTCCAGATAGTCAACCCTATCGCCTCCTCGTCGATCTGACTCGGAGCCCTAGTTTCCAAATCGGAAGGAAGCTCGTGGCGGCACACCGGACACGAGTTTCGCATGGAGAGCCACAAGGAGGATGCAATCAGAGTGGTAAATATGTTTGAAGGGTAAATCACGCGCCTCCGCGTGGAGCTCAAACGCCTCCTTGCAGACGGCGCAGTGCGCCTCGGTCTCGACCTGTGCTTCGCCGATCTCGACCGTCGGCATGGACTCGATCGCCGCCTTGGACGCCGGCGGGTTCTCCGGGCGGCCGAAGCCGTTCATCTCGATCTGCGCGAACTGCTCGAGTAGGCGGTCGAAGCCTGAGCCGAGGAGGAACTCCGACATGGTGGGCGGGAGAGGACGGAGGCCAGTGCCGTCACCGTCGTCGTAGAAGAGCTCAAAGGTGCTGGCGCCTTCGTGTTCGGCGGCGGTGTCATCGCCGGATCCCCGAAGAACGATAACGGGGTTAAAGGGGGAGCGGTTGCCAGCGGCATCGCGACGGCGGCGGCGGAATCCCTGTCGGCGGAGCGAAAGATGGTCGTCGGGGAAAGGGCTGAGACGGTGGCGCGGCGAGGCTTCGGCGCGGATCTCTTCGACGAAGCCACTCTGGCAGTGGGGGCAGGCGATGGTGGCCTGCGACGAGAGATGAACGAAGCGGGTACAGCTGTAGCACCAATACGACGGCGTTCCGTGTTGCGTGTCGGAATTCATGTTTTTGACGAAACGGGAAGAGAGAGAAGGAGAAAGAGTGCGTTTGGGGAGGGTTGAAGGGGAGAGCGTGAATATAAATGAGATTAGAAGAGCGTGTGTGAATGCGAACTGCAGAGGAAACGAGCAACGTTTGCGTGTTTCATTTCCCACGCGTTAAAACCTAATCTCAACATACATCCAAACTTCTCACTTCTTCTAACTTTTTAACTATTATTTCATTCACTTATTTCTTCCTACACTCTACCAACACTAATTTTCTTTCGCACTTCAATTCATTCTCTTATAAGGCAGTCAATCCTAATTTTCCATCCCTCTACCATTTTATAAATTAACTCACTTACTCAAATTCTATACTAATTTTATAAAATATTTCATTTATTTTTTCTTAATATTTATTTTTACTCTGTACTTTTGATTGTAGTATTTGTTTATTAACTTGTTAACAGCAAATTTTTTAAAGGTTTGATGAAATTAAGACAAAAAGGTAACACTTAATTTGAATACAAATAAAATTTAAATATATTCAAGTTGAGGCATTCTCTTAAACTCTGTATTAGGTTATTGTAAACCACATTGACTCTTGGAATCTAAAATAAACTATAAATAAGTCAAAATTACAGCTAGGAAAGGATTTTGAATGTTAAACGGAACCTGAGAGAATAGTTTCCTAAAATTAGGAAAGGTAGGAGATTGTTAGATTAGTGTTATTGGTGACTTGCAGAGGAAGATTAAGAATGGTTTAGCGTTCTGAAATTGACATAGAATAAGTATTTTTAATTATAATAATGACTGTGTGAAAGAGACAATAAGAATGACATTATAAAAATATAAGTATTTTGTTTTCGTTCATATGTAAAAATTGTTTATATACAGAGCATATTAAATAATTGGACTGAAAGGGGAAGGAAAGGAGGCAGAAGGAAAGGAAGGGCAAGAAATAAGAGTGTTGACCATTGACCGTTGACTGGGAGAGAAGAGACGCCCATTTTGATTTGAATGTGAAATTAATTATCATTTAATAAAATAAAATAAAAGTGTTTATTAAATGTGTTACTGTTGGCAGCAGAGTGGTTTATGATAAGATTAGATGCCTTAAAAAAAGGAAAAAGGTTGTGTTGTGGTGTGTGTGTCTTGTGATGTGGTTTGGTGTCGACACTTTTCCATTACACAACTCTCTCTTATTGACCATCGTGCCCCACCACCGTCGCATTTTCCATGTTCCCCACTTCCACGCTCCCTTCTTCGTTTTCTTACTTCTTTCCTTTCACTTATTTTCCATTTTTATTTTTCTTAAAAGTAATAATATTTTTACAACCATCAAAAAATAATACTTTTATTTTTGACCTTCTTGCTTTCTTTTTTTTCTTCTTCAAAACACGACTAACCACACCGATTTAAAATTAGTTATTTTGAGAATTTAGAATTTTACTCACGTGTTGAATACAACGGGTTGACCATGTCTGATTCTAGATCGTTTTTTCATTCCGTATGGCATAAGGTGTGACGATTTAATATCGCGTCTGACGTAAAAATACTTAATTTAAAGAATAAGAAAAGTCAAATGTATGAGTTGAGTTGAACGAAACCGTGGAACATGATTCAACAAAACGCAATGTTCAGTGATTATTAATCAGCGTTTAAGATGACCGTGGTGTACTTGGAGGAACAACACAATGCAATGAACCATGGTGGATCAGTTACTCATTATTACTTTCCAACACTTTCACGGATGATTAATTCATAATTAATATGTAAGTGATCGAATTTTAATTTATTAAGTGTATAGTATAAAATATTAACCGAGCGGTTACAAACAACCAACCGGATATTCAGGTAATCTGTTTATATCTTATTCTGTTTATATTTTATTGGGCGGTTTTAACTCTCTCACGAGAGGGATGTAACGCTCGGTCTTGGACGATTGTTAATATGAACTTGCTGACGAAATTGGCAATCAGTGTTTGCAATAGGAGACTCCCCTTCGTTAATGAATTTCATGAAGTCGTTTATGACTAGTCTTAGTTGCATTGCCATAGTGATGGCGTAGATTTGTGATATATATTTTCTTCAAGATGTGTCTTGTTAAAATCTCATGATTGAATATATTAGGTATATAAACCGTAGAATAAATTGTTCGGTTACAGATATTATGAATTGCACCGAAAAAAAAATAATACAGATAATAACAAGGTATCAAAACCGTCTTGAGATTTTTAATACTGTTGTTGATAGTTTCTCTAACACAAAACCAATTCTGTGACTATTTTAATCATGCCAGAAAATGTCGGTTATAATAATAGATAACTATATTTATAGAGACTATAAATATCAGTATATCATATAAATATTAGATGTATACTATATATTAACATAAAAATAGTTGTTATAATATCTATTATCAATTAGACTATTTTATGAAATATTCATATTTCAAAAAATATTATCTTGTTGACGACGCTTCACGTAGAGATGATGATTCATGTAGAGTGCTTCATAGGGAATGGGCTTTTACCGTTCAGCTTGTTGTTCCTACCATGCTCCTCGTGGTCGCCGTTGGGTTTGACGCTCGGCCCCACGGTGGGCGCCAAAATGGTTCGGTAGATAACTTTTAGGGACGAGAAGAGACTAACTGTGACGCGTCGGGACCGCTCGCTCGCTTCCAAACTCCTCCTGTTGGCCGATCGGTGTTGGCGCAACCGATCGGTCTCCTTCTTGACGAGGGGATGTACTGCAAAGGTACTCCGACGCCCAAGTTAGGCGGTGTTTGAAGAAGCCTGGTCTGGTTGAATATCTAGTGAATGGTTATCACTATTGAGTATTTTAGAGTAGCGTAGAGTGAATAATGCGTAAGTAGAACGTACCTGGCCTTTGACCCTGGCTTTGTATTTAAAATTTACCTCATGGATCCTAAGATGATATAA